AGAAAGGTAACGGGATGGGGCTGGGAGTGGGTGCTCCTAGGAGCCCATCCCTGCCTCCTGCCCGGCACTGAGTCCCCCTGTTCATCCCAGTGCTTGCTGACTGGGAACTGGAGGAACGACCTGGGCTCCAGCATGATCATCGGGGCTGTGAATGACAGGGGCGAGTTCAGCGGCAGCTACCTCACAGCTGTGGCAGACGCACCAAATAACATCACATGGTCACCGCTGCTTGGGATCCAAAACAACACAGTCTGCCAGCCCACCTTTGGCTTCACAGTGCAATGGACGTTTATAGGTGCTTCTTTCCCAGCCTCCCTGCCATGCCCCTGCTCCTCTCCTGCCCTTCCCTGTGACATCCCCTTTGCTGTCCTGCCCTTCCCCACAATGTCCCCATTGGTCTCCTGCACTTTCCTACAGTGTCCCTGATGATCTCTTCTCCTCTCTTTGATGTCCCTGATGATTTCCTACCCATACCTGCAGTCCCTCCAACAATGCCCTGCCTCCCATGGCCCTGGTGCTGCCCTATCCCCTGCTGTGTTCCCAGCAGCCCCATCCCTTCCCCCAGAGCTGCTGGGCTGCTGTCGCCTCCTGGTCCCCGGGTACAGGGGAGGTGCTGGGGCTGCTCCCAGAGGGCAGGGGGAGCTCAGATGAGTTGTCCCCAGGGCAGAGGTACCATGGCTCTGGCACTGCCCTGCCCTTTGTGGAGCTCATGACCCCACTCTCCTCATCTGCCCATTTCCCACAGAGTCCACCACTGTCTTCACGGGCCAGTGCTTCATAGACAGGAATGGGAAGGAGGTCCTGAAGACCAAGTGGCTGCTGCGGTCAAGTGTTGGTGACATTGATGATGACTGGAAAGCCACCAGGTGAGCCCAGGGCAGAGGCACAATGTCCCAGGCTATGACTAGATGGCTGTGCAGTTCCCACCTTACATCTCCCTCTGTTCTCCACAGGGTTGGCAACAACGACTTCACTCGCATGCACACAGTGCAGAATGAGGATGACCTCGCCAGTCCCACATCAGCAACAACGCTGGAGTGCTGACACTGCTTGTGACATTGCTCCCAATAAAGCTTTACATCAGACACTGACTCGTGCCACGTCTCTTCAGGCTGCACTTCTGGCTCCTATATCACCCCATCGCATCCCAGTTCCTCTCCCCTTCCTGTCCCCTCTGCCTGTCCCACACCCCATGGTGTGGCAGTGCCAGCAATGACACTTGTGTCACCACTGCTCAGTGCTTTTGAGGCTGCACACATTGGGGAAGTAGGTTGGGAAGGAAGTTTGGGAAGTCAAAAGGGAAGAGAAGACGGGCCGTATTGCGTATCAAGTGCAGGAGTGGGGTGTACACTGGTACACCGTGCATGCAGGTGGGCTCCGATCCCCACAGAGTGCAAGGAAAGCTGTCAGGGACAGCTCTGCCAGGAGCTTGCAGAAATAGCACGCTCCTCCTGCTCCTCCGCCACATGCCACCCATGCTATCTGCCGCCCCTGGTGCTGGCCCAGCTCTACCCCACATCCCTTGGAGTGATCCAAAAGCAAAGCGGGTGGTGCTGCCAGCAGTGCTGAGAGCAGACAGCACGGTTGCTCCGGGGCCAGGAGCATGGGGCTCTGCTCAAAAAGCACTGGTCCTGGTGCTTCATCACGCATCCCTTGGCAGAGCTCTGTACATTCCAGTTGATCTCTCACATAGTCAGCAACTCTACCACCTCACTCTGCTGTCTGTCTGTCCTAAGAAAGTACACAGCCATCCCCGAGCGCATTCCAGTCATGTGAGCTTTCCCACCATGTCCGTGTGCTGATTGCAATAAGATCATGGCCCAACGACCATCCCTGGATCTCGGACTCTTCCTGTTCATTTCCCACACTGCGTGTGATGGTACACAGGCAGTGTAGGGTAGAAAAGGGAGCGCAGAATGCAGATTTCCCTTGGCAGGACTCCAGGGGCCCCATGCAGCCCCCACTGCTTATAAACAGGTCCAAGCAGGACTGGAGCAGCAGGCAGAGCGCAGCTTGGCTGTGGAGCACCTCCATGCTGCCTCCTGCTTGGTCTCGGCCCCACGGCCCCCAGGAAGGTGAGCACAGCCGGGGTGCTGTGAGCCACGGTGTGCTCTGACATGCTGCTGTGTCCCCTGGTCCCAGTCCGAGCTGCAGGGCTGCAGGGCCTGTGCTGGAACAAGTTGGGCTCCAAAATGACACTTGTCCCTGGACACCACTGAACGAATGTCCTGGCTGCTCTCCACGCTGCAAAGAGCGACCTATGAGATGGGGCAACGCGCAGGATTCCCAAACACGACGTTCATAAACGGACTCAAAGCTGCGGCGTGGAAGCAGCTGCACCCGGCGTCGGTTACACAACAGCCAGCCACTGTGTTCGAAGCTGCGTTTCGGTCGGGCCCTGGAGCTCCGTCAGCCCGTCCGCTCCCACCAGTCCCCAGCAGCCGGTGGCTGAGGGAGTTGGGTTTGTTCAGCCTGGAGAAGAGAAGGTTGCGGGGCGACCTCATTGCAGCCTT